ATGTTCCTGGGCACCTGAATTTGGGAGCGGATCTGCTGTCCAGGGGAGGCCCACTGGTGAGGGAGTGGAGACTACATCCATCCGTGGTTGCGCAGATTTGGCAACGGTTCGGCGAAGCTTCAGTGGATCTCTTTGCCACCAAAGCCAACACCCACTGTCCCCTATTCTTTTCCATAACGGATCACAGCGCTCCATTGGGAGTGGATGCCCTCGCTCACCCATGGCCCAATGTGCTTCTGTACGCTTTTCCCCCAGTGGGAATGATTCTGCCAGTGCTGGAGAGAGTACGCAGATGGGGCCTGTCTTTGATTCTGGTGGCCCCTCGCTGGCCGACAAGGTCATGGTATGCGGAAATAATCAGCTTGCTGGTAGTGGAACCTTGGAAACTCCCTGTCCGCCGAGACCTCCTCTCCCAGGCAGGGGGGGAAGTATTTCATCCGCACCCAGAATTGTGGATGCTGCATGCCTACCTGCTGAGAGGTCCAGTTTGTTAGCCAGAGGCCTTCCTTTGGATGTGGTTGCAACCATTCAGAGTTCCAGAGCAGCTTCCACTAGGGGTTTGTATGCCCATAAATGGCATGTTTTTGAACAGTGGTGTCACGGCAGAAACATTTCCCCCTTCCAGTGCTCCATTGTGGATGTCTTGATATTCCTACAGGGGCTAGTGGATAAAGGTCTGTCTTTCTCCACAATTAAGGTTTACTTGGCTTCCATCTCTGTGTGCCATGTTGGCCTTGATGGAGGGACACCAGGTGCTCATCCTCTGGCTGTGCGTTTCTTAAAAGGGGTCCGTAGACTGAGACCAGGGATAAGATCTAGTGTTCCTTCCTGGGATCTCACTGTGGTCTTGGATGCTCTTTGTAGCACTCCCTTTGAGCCCCTTGAGTCGGTTGATTTGAAATTTCTGTCATACAAGACAGCTCTGCTTCTTGCTTTGGCGAGTGCGAAACGGGTTGGGGACCTGCATGCACTTTCGGTGCACCCCTCTTGTGTTCAGTTTTCAGCTGATGGTTTAAAGGTCACCTTAAGGCCAAATGCTGCATATCTCCCTAAGGTGATCCCTTCAGATTACAGCATGATGACCATTGAGCTTTGCAGTTTTTATCCCCCTCCTTTTGCTTCTGATGAGCAAGGAAGGCTGCATTTTCTGTGCCCAGTACGTGCACTCAGTCTTTACATCAATCGCACTCAGGATATCCGACTGTGCGATCAGCTGTTTGTGTGTTTTGCAAATCCAGCCAGAGGCAAAGCTCTCTCCAGGCAGAGACTTTCTCATTGGGTCGTGGAGGCTATTTCTCTGGCTTACAACAGTAAGGGCCTCCCTTTACCACGTGGTGTGAGGGCACACTCGACCAGAGGTGTGGCGGCGTCATGGGCCCTTTTCAGAGGGGTCCCGGTGAGTGACATCTGCGCGGCAGCCAGCTGGTCTTCACCGCACACTTTTGTTCGGTTTTATCGTCTGGATGTGACAGCCCCTACTGTGGCTCATTCTGTTCTTTCCGCTGGGTTGGAGGTTTCAAACTAACTCAGTGCATTTATATTAGGTTTGATGGCTGCTCTGCGGGGCGTGTATATATGTCCCATACTCTATGTGTTGTACCGAGTGAATCGACTGAAAGGGAACGTAATGTTATGCATATAACTACTGTTCCCTGAAGGAGAGGAACGAGGTACAACACCTTTCTGCCCCGCATTTCAGCTTGGCTCGGTGAAGAGCTGCCATCGAACTGAATAATGACGGTGATGTGGTGTATTTATATGCGGGCGGGGCCTGCCACCCCGCATCACACGTCATTTGCCTAAAGGCGTGATTAAAGGTGTCTTCAGTTGGGTCACGTGGGAGCGTGATATCCCATACTCTATGTGTTGTACCTCGTTCCTCTCCTTCAGGGAACAGTAGTTATATGCATAACATTACGTTTTATGTCTTGTGTTTAAACATGTAACAGAGACACAAACTTTTATCTCAACATATTTGAAAAATGGATGGCATTATCAAAAAACAAAACGCAGCTTATCTCACTTCTATAACTCCAGCTCGCTTCGCATTTCGAAAAAATGTCCCGCCGAACTTGAACGCCTTTGGGACGGAGGACTTGGAAAAAATGGTATTCATCCGCGACTTTGCTTTCGACGTCCTTGATCTGGTCATGTGGCGCTCCTCTTCTTCACTTAATACGCAATTCTAACTGGGATTGAGGACTTTACGAAGTCTGACTAAATCTTACATCATATTTAGTCCTTTATCAGACAAAGAGAGAATTTCCGGCACTATTTGTATATCGCATTAATATTGCGATATTAAGATCCGGTTACCATTTTAAAACTGATTGTCAAGTTTTGTTCACACATTTGAATTTTATGTTTTACTGAACTGACTCACATCCTCGAGTTGAAATGCCAATAACTCATGAAATTAAGTTGAAATTACAAAACTCATTATGTAAATTGGAAGTTACTTATAGAAAAAAGTTACATTAACTAATCGAGAGAATAACTTTTAACAGTGTACAGCAACAACTCTAAGTCTAATCAGAAATCAAACACAGCAGATCTTAGGAAACAAAGAATTTCTATTATTAATAGAAGGGAGCAGAATCTGTTTTAAAAAGCTGAATAATGTGGGCGCCGCTCCGGTGGGTCTGGACACGCCGTGTGCGCGGTATCGCCTCCTGTGCGCTGCAGCAGTCCTGCCGCGGCTCCTGCCGTTTGACGTAGAAGGAGTTGCTTGGTAATGTGACACTTTATGATAAAACGTATCCAATAAAACATCCTAGAACTATTGAAACATTGCGAAAATAAAAACTGATTAATTCCACATTACTTTTTGCCAACTTGAAGACCTATTCAAAAGAAAATGAATGTATAGACTAAAAAAAAAAAAAAATCCCTTCTCACCCACCGCGGGTGGTTCTTATCCTCTGAGCTCGGGTCCTCTACCAGAGGCCAGGGTATATTATATATATAGGTATAAATAAGTATTGTCTTCAAGTAACTCAATTACACAGTAATATATTATGTTTCATGTCAACAGCTATAGTGCCCCAACAACTGGGGTAAGAACGTTTTCTGAAGACAAACCCTGCACATGCCATGCAATGTTGCAGTTTCTCACATTCTGTTGTGTGTAGGTTGGAAGGTCTGTAAAATAGTATAGTCGTATCTTTGGCAGATGATGAATTGCTGCATATTTGTTGGCTCCGTGTTGATGATACAAATATTCCACCTCACAACATCCCAAATGTTCTTTAAAGGATTGAGATTTACTGACTTGGAGTGTTACGGGCACAAAGGCCATCAAAGAAGAATGAGTGGATACAACACCAGTAACCATTTGAAGCACTTTAGAGGCCTTTATTTTTAAAACACGAGTCAAGAGTATGTGGGCACCATCCCAGACATGTAGACAGAAGCCCAGGCATGTTGGCATATACCTGGGAACCACTGAACTGACATGTGCACGCCTCCTTCTGGCCCTCTATCATGTGCAGTTCTCCTTCAAACATGGATCCATTGGCCCCTTCAGGTGTAGGCAACTGCTCCAAGGTGTGGACCTCCTTCAAGTGTGGGTGAGCAGCTCCTCTCCATGCCTGTGTGTCTATCTCAAATCTCCACTTGTCTCACACTGCTCACTTGTTGGCCATGTGGAACAGAAGCCCTTGGGCCAAATAGACCAAAGTCCCCATGTGACTTTAGGACCCTCACATTCTGGTACCTTAATGGAAGCACAGTTAGCAGTCACAGGAGGGCATTGGAGTACAGTGAATTCATTGTCATTTTTATCAGTGAAGAAGATTACTGACATTTTATAGGGAGAAACTTCCGTCAAAACCGTACTTGGGATAACTGTCTGTGTCCTAGAAATACCTGATTCCTTTGGTAGCCCTTCATTGAAAACCTTGAATCGCTCTTAGTCTGATCCCTCCCCAATGGCAGCCTGCCCTGGGAAGCCTCACTATTGGCTGAACCCCAAGACAAAATCTCCATCTGGGTCATGGGGATACTCAAACCCCTCCACCACGTTAAGGTGGCGATTCTGCGGAGGGGTCACCAGCAGATCGCGATGGATGTTTAATCCAAGGGATCCCCCATCCTGAGCAAGCACAAGGCAACAGTGGAGAGGAAAACTCCCTTTAAAAGGAAGAAACCTCCAGCAGAACCAGGCTCAGGATGAGCAGCCATCTGCCGAGGCTGGCTGGCTTCAAGAGGGCAAAAATAAAAAACACACAAACACAAAACTGTCAACAAACCTTCTGAAAGAAAGACAAATTCAATTACAATATTAGTTTACAATACATATGTTACAAAAGGGAGATCTGGGAAAGTCTATACAATAGATATTAACAGAAAATAGTCTGAACCTGTAGCAGTAAACTACCTCTCACTGGAATCAGTCCCGAAAGAATAACATGAAACAAAAAGTTAAACTTCAATATCTGTGAAAGAACTTAAAGAATTGTGTTAGTGCATCATTATCTACAAAATCATGTTGCTGTATTCCCATATCCTGGACAGACAATCTTTCATTTTGATAAAGAGCTTAAGTTTGTGTTTGAATATGTTAATGTTATCAGAAAGTTTATGTCGTTATGTTGTCAACCATGCAGCACATATTCACAGCTGAGGAGATTTTGGGCAGACCAATTAACCGAACAGTCAAGTTTTTATTGTGGGAGGAAGCCGGAGCACCCAGAGAGAACCCACAAATCCTACTTTTATTATTTCTGAGGGAGGAAGCCGGAGCACCCGGAGAAAACCCACAAATCCCACTTTTATTATTTCTGTGGGAGGAAACCGGAGCACCCAGAGAGAACCCACAAATCCTACTTTTATTATTTCTGAGGGAGGAAGCCGGAGCACCCAGAGAGAACCCACAAATCCCACTTTTATTACGTCTGAACCTCTTTCTGAAAGGTAACAGTGCTACTAACTGTGCCATTGTGCTACTTATGGTTGACTGTGAGGACTTTTTGTGAGGAATTAAAATTAATTGTGTAAACATATACAAAAGAGATATATCAAAGGGTAAAAAAATAGTTTTCTCCATATCTCATCCATCTCTCTTTGTTCTCCTCGTCATTTTGCAATTTCTCCATGCACTCTAAAGTTATAGAGGCAGGTGTAGTCCGGATGACCCCAGTTGCTGTTCACCTTTAGAGTCACATGACGGAAGGAACCAACTTTATCGGCCTGTAAGGCAAGAGAGATACAAATTAGGGAGGTTAGATTGATAATCCATACTTGCAAATAGATGATAGAAACAAAGGAGGTCTGTCTGATGGAAGCCTAGTTCAACTTTCCTTGCTGTAAATACATTTTGCATAGTTTATCTCAAGATATCAAGGTAATTATACTGATATCTTGCTAACCAGAAAACAAAATGTTTTGTAGTAACACTGGGATTTTGTTGTTTGTTATACAGAGACAAAAAATTGTTTTGTGAAAAGTGTTGTGACTTTTTTACACTTTTATTTATTTGTTAAGTACAATTTGCATTTTAAGTGACTTCCTTACAATTGTATGTTGAGCATAATTTACGTGATGATCATTATTAATTTAAATTAACATGACTGTAAATAATTACAAAACCTACAGTGAAATATATTTAAGTGCGAGGCATAATTTATTTGAATAGAGGAAGTCTTTTATTTTGAAGAATGCTAAACCGAATGTGGTTCTGTATTTCGTCACTGTCTTGCTTCTGTTGATTTTGGTTGCTAGGTAACAAACAGCTGTGATCAGCTGTCACTGTTTTCTCCTCAATAAAAACTGAACAGAAATGTTCAGTAAAAGAAATCCGAGTCTCCGTGTTGATTGAAGAATCTCCCACATCTAAATAATAATAGGTTGACTTTTTGTATTTTGTTACCGTGATGTAATAAAAGTCTCAACGAGATTTATGCCAAGACAACAATATTTTCCTTCTTAATAGATGGCCAAATAAATCTACAGTTTTTTCCATTTGTTCAAGTTAAACACTTTGTATCTCTGTGTTTTGGAATAGTTATGGTTCAATAACAAAGCTTAATGTGGCTGCATTACATTTAGGCACTATTTATAGACAACTTAACTAATTGATTATTTTTTCAATGCTTTTTATCAGTTACCACTACTCTGAAAGTGCAAGATTAACATACATTTTTATGGTTTAAGTAGAGTTTTTCATTGAAGCCTTTTGAATGAAACAATAATACGGTACTTTATTCAAAGTATGTTTTTAAATTGAATGCTAGTAATACCCAGTGAAGAACCTTATGATTGTATGTTAGAATATATGATCATCATTTCAATATATCAATATTTATAACAGGGTAGGTCAGTCTGGTCTTCTGAGAGAACTGTATTTGGTTAATAAAACATTAATTTGATATATTTACAGGAAGTTTGAAGGTCTGTATTTGGTCTCCATCTTCATCGTATTGGAAAGTTCCCAAATGAGTTTCCTCATCTTCTAAATTCTTTGCTCCCTGAGACAAAATTAGATAAAAATCCAGTTCATTATCTTGTTCTTTCAAGATATGTGAAAGTTAGTTGGTGTATCAGAAAACATATCACATCCTGAGATAAACAGAAAATTCATTAGTGCAGACAGAAAGTTTGCATGGTTTAGAATGAGATCAAGCAATGTCATATGGAATCAATGCTATCACATTTTGAATGTATACTTAATATATACTATACATGGCTATATCTATATTACACTTTTGACACTCATTTTATTTGACTTACATATACAGAAAATTCTTTGGGAGCACTAGAGACAGAGGACGTTGGGGACACAACTTTAGCAATGTGACCCAGGGACACATGTCTGATGGTGGCTGGGTGTGAAAGTGAGACGCCCAAACGTCCCTGGAAACCTGGAAAGGCCCAGCATTTTCCAGGTTCCAGACGATTTTTTCCCTGAAAACAGAGAACAAAATTTAAGTGGGGTACCAAGACTAAGAGAAAAATAAATCATAAAGCCTAATAATATATCAATAAGAAACACCACTTTTATTTTTTTAATGATCTGATCATCATTCAAACCTTAATAACAATGACTGGGCCAATAGGAGGTCTCTTGAAAAATTTCCCAAACGTTCCAACTTCTTTATTGATGTCATAAGCCTCTGAGGTCATCTTGTGTAAAATATTTGCTCCTGTACACAAAACACAAAAACAGAAATAATGTGAGTTAGAAAATTTTAATACTGAAAATTTGAAATCTAGTTGATGATCTTATTTGTAATGGCTCGCCTTGAGACTCCAGAGCAAAGTTGGGCCATAGGTCTGCTTGTGGCAGAAGGTAGTCAACCTTCTGCTCCAACAACTCCAGGTTGGAGAGATGTCTTTGATCCTTGCGTCCAAAGATCGTAACCTGTGCACAACATAAAAATTAACAGCTTGTTCTCATGTTTGATCATGATAATTAAATCGGTGTTAAGATTAGGAAGAGAAAGCCTACCATGTCTGTTAGAGTTGTGAGAGACAACTCTGAAGATCGTGAGTGGAATGAAATAATACAGCAAATACATCCTGATGAACATGAGCAGAAGACAACAGTGAGAAAAAATTTAAAAATACAGACTTTCTGTAACACTTCCAAATTGACTATTTGTAGGAGAGTATTCACCAAAAGTGACGAAGATGAGAAAGACAAAGACTGATATATCAAAACCACTCTGCAACAGAGTCATCATCATATGTCTTTCTCTGTCAATCACATTGTCACCAGAATAATGTGACCTCTCTCTAAATGTGACTGCAGGGTGGTTTGCAGGACGACCTGTTATGCGCCTCCTTATGGCCCTAGATGAAAAATATACAAGCGAGTTAAAATGTACACTGATCAGCAGATGACTGCATAAAACATATGACTTAATGAAAATTGCTGATTTAATCTACCTGATTGGCGTCTCCCTGTATGAAATAACAGGTTGTCCATCCATATCATAGTATCCGCTGTTTCTCAAACGTTCACTTCTTCTTAGCATGACTGTAAAAAACCAAAGACATGCAAAAGTGGTACATTTTGGCACAAAGCATGTCCAAAATGTACCAACACAACTCTGCACACTTCCTTCAAAATACTAGCACAAAATGTCATTTTTTTCTGTGCTTCACTAATTTCTAAATAAATACTTACTCGAAAAACTGAAGCTCAGTTCAATTTCTTGAATTTTTTGAAGTAATCTATCCGACGTCTAACTCTTCAAATGGATGAATTCCTGTAGGAACTCGGCTCTTATTGACAAAAGTTCCAAAAGCGCCTGATGACAAGTCAGCTTATGTGACATCAGAATGCTCCACAGAACCTGCCCACAATTCATTTCTGCCTCTTTTAAATTCATTTAAAGCATTTAAAAAATTAAGGTACGAAAAAAAAAATTCTGCTGTTAAATTAGTCAATCAAATCTCTGTTCTAAACAAAATCAAGAAATGTTTACTTCCCTACTGACATTTACATGCAGTTATTGCACAGTTTTTTAGACATGTTTGATAAAAACATTTCCGTTATTACTGCAGAGCGCTTTCTCTACACTAAGCATGAGTAGAATGGAGTTTTCCACAACACACTTGTTTCAGTGGAGTTTATTTCACCATTTGGTACAAAATGTATGGAAACAACAACAAAAAATAAAATAATAAGGATTGGAGTTTTGAGATTCTAAAAAAATGTCATTTTTTGCTGCACAAAATGGACAAAAACAGTGGGAATTAATCATTATTCCCTAAACTGTTTTTTTTTTTTTTTTATTTACCGTATTTTTCGGACTATAATTCGCTCCGGAGTACAAGTCGCACCAGCCATAAAATGCATAATAAAGCAAGAAAAGACACATATTAGTCACACCGGAGTATAAGTCACATTTTTGGGGGAAATTTATTTGATAAAGTCCAACACCAAGAACAGACGTGTCATCTTGAAATGCAATAAAAATAGAATAGAGGCTGAATAACAACAAACTGAGAACATGCCTGGTATGTTAACATATTGAGAGTTATTCAGATAACTATAGCATAAATAACATGCTAACAAGTTTACCAAACCATCATTGTCACTCCAAATCACTAAATCTTCATCTTCTGTGTCGCTTGTAAACAACTCCGCTAACTCCAGAGGTAGCTTTGACCACACACATTATCAACACTGGCTCATAGCGCCCTTTTGCAGTTCAGTGTGAAAATAACATGTGATATGCTATAATAATGTGTTAATAATTTCACACACAAGTTGTTCCTGAGTATAATTCGCACCCGTGGCCAAACTATGAAAAAAACTGCAACTTATCGTCCGGAAAGTTGTGATTGGAAAGTTTGTGGTAACTTTTAAATTGAGTTTGGTTGTAATATGGTGGACAAAATGTGCTGAGGATAATTTTGGGTGTTTTATCTTTATAGACCAACAACTAGAAACAGAAAACCACAGAACACTGAAGAAGAAACCAATGAAGAAAGCCAAGATATCAAAGAAGTGATAATCGGCAAAGTCAATGAAGAGAAAGACGAGACGTTTGCGGAGGTTGTAGGTGGGTCTACATTATCTGTGTTATGTTAACAGTGTATAGATTTAAAATTTCCATTATGAAGTGCAGCCCTTAAAAGTCCCAACCCTTCCTTGTTGAAATAAATAAATACAAAGTTGTGGTTTGAGTTGGCTTCATGTGGGTAGGATGCAAATGTTTTTGCAAATATTACATGTTTGTTGGTGCAGCTTTCCCTTAATGGCACTGAGCAGCACAATGAAAACATGTTTTCAGATAAAATTATTGAAAGGGAAGCGAAAGGGAAGACCTCGTTTAAAAACCCAGGTGCAAGAACATCAATTATCTGGACCTGGTTTGGGTTTAAACTAGGACTGTCAGGGTTAATGCATGCAATTAATCTGATAAGTTTAACATGCTAATATCATATAATGGAGATTAATCGCATGGATTTTTTTGACCTCTCACAAAGGGTTACATAGTTCACAGTATCAAGTTCTTGTACTGCGCTCAGCAATGCGTGACAATTATTTATCCCTTGCACGACTATACCATCACTACCAATCTGAATTGTTGTTTATTCCAAATTCTGACTCCATCATTTGAATCTTTGACCAAAATTCAAGACTCATAACACTAGGCAACAGTTTTCCACTCTTATCATTGCAATTTTGTGAGTGTGTGTGAATCAGGAGTGTCCAAAGTCACAAAGTTAAACTCCTGCAAGTCGCCAGGTCTACAGGCTGAATTCAAAGAAGATAAACACAAAAATAAAACAAAAATCAATTAAACTGGTGTACCTAATAAACTGGACAGTAAATCTAGTCATCCAGTTAAAATGAAAAACTGCTGCTCTTCAAAGACCTTTGAAACAAAACATCAACATTTTTGTTTTGATTTGATTCAAAAACTGTAACTAATGAGAGAAAAGGCACACTGGATCTACTTAAAGCTAACTATTTTAAATAAAATCAGAAAAAAACAAATGCTAACAGACAAGGAGGAAGAGGTGGGCCAAGTCCCAGGAAGAGCTGGGGTATATCATCCTGTCAGAAGAGATCCAGGTGTTTTTCTGGTCCAATCAGCACCAATTACCTGCAGCTGTGAAACACAACAACCGACATTGGGCCATAAAGCCATGTGTATGTTCAACTTGACTTCAGCCAAATATTTTATTTATTTATTTATTTTACTGAATGATCAGAAATGTTAGTTTTATTTTCCACCTTAGATGATTGTGTTTCTGTCTCATGCAGACTGTGGGATGTCGCTGAGCTGGGAGCCAGCTGGGGATATATCAGCCTCCCAGGAGATTTCCACAGATTTCACAATAGATAACTTGACTGGATCAGAAGATATGCAGCACAGTTTGGTATGTACAAGTTTTTAAAACTGAAAATATAACCTCTTATACAAGGCTCTCATCAAATCAATCCAGTTTAAGTTAGCTGTTCCCAACGTTTCGGCTCCTTACAACAAACTAGGTTGTTTGGATGAGTCTGTGCTTACTGAGATCTCTGCCTGTGGTATTATTCTGGTGGAAACTAAATGTATTGGAACCTCTATTCTGGTGGAAACTGTATTGAACCTCTTTTTTTTGTGCTTTCTTTTTTTTTTTTTCATTTTTTTTTTTTTTGTTTATTAATTTTCCAGTGCAATGTTTTATTTATGATAAATATTTGAAAGCTCTCACCCCAGTCCATGGACACTGTGCTCAGCCTAACATTTGTCATACTGATCAGTTCTGTTTGAACTCTCCCTACCATGTGAGAGTATAAAAGCTGCTGTTTACTCCACTGCTGCTATACAGAGGAAGTGATGTACTGCTTTTATGCCTCTTGGAAAAAGCATCCTGGACACGGGTTACCTCTTAAAACCACCTGAACCGTGGTGTTTTAACACGTCTCGTGCTGCCAGCAGGACTGATGGCAAGTGGAAAACAAGTGCAAAGAGTGTCCTGCTAATCCAAGACGGGCATACATATTAGGAAATTATTGATGGGGAAAATCAAAATATTTTTAATTAATTTATTTTCTCAAAACAGCTACAGACCTCCCACATATTGTTGTCATATTTTCCGCTGTTTTCAAGCAGTTTCAGCTAAATTAGTTGCTGGTCATATAAACTCTTCTACTTGGCTCTTAATTGATATTCCCCCATCACCTTGCCAAATAGAGATGACTGGACTGTCCGTCCAAATAAATGTTAACACCATTTTAGACTCTGGTGTTGTGAGCTACTTCTAAACTTGGAGTTGAGCAACCATTGCAATACAGCTAATGTGGAAGCTTCAGACCTTCCATTCAGA